GACTTATCCTAAGGGTACTGAGCAAACACTGCTGTGTTTTAAACAGGAAGTATGTGTGACTGTTCTGTGGCCAGGTCCTTAATTCACTGAGCAAAGTCACACATATGGATTTTTTTTTTATATTTTAAATATTGGCTCATTTTTTGCATGCCATGAAGGCTCCCCTCCCCCCAAAAAAAGAAAAAACAAACAAACAATTGTACAGGTCGATTTTGTGACCTATCTTGTCCTTGGGGCTGTGGGAAGCAAATGACTGGGCAGATGGGCAGGAGAAAGTACCCGGATTCCAGTGAGAACCAAGGTCTGTTTGCCAGGCTTCCCTGTTTCCTCCTTTGGAACATAGGAATTCAACAACTGCCCAGCAATTACACAGGGAGGGAAGCGCAGCCCGCAAGGGTCAGAAAAGGCTAAAGGAGGGGTGTCCTGGCCCCCACCACCTCTTATTTCACACTGGTAACACAGCCCACCCTAGGGGCCTCCCCACACCAGCTCCTGCCTCCTGTGTGTGGCCTGGACAGAGAGTGCAGACCGCTCACCATTCAGCAGCTCTGAGGCTTCAAGCAGGGCCCTTCTCACTAACCCCTCCCCCAGACCGACTCACTGCCTCCCTCCCCACCAGGCCTGTTGTGAGAATTAGAGTAGATGAGGGGTGTGCATGGTTCTGCTCACGTTAGGGCCAGGCTGTGTACATGGAAAGCCTGTTTTTATCTACTCAGCCTGTCAGAGCCCAGCTGTGCTCCCAGGAGGGGGCGGGGGTGGGGGGCTGAGTCTGAAATGGTTGCAGCAGAGACAAAATTCAGCAAAAATCTGGCTTTAGGACATGTTTGTTTGGCCTACAATGCTAACAAATTATTTTTTTTAAGTCAATGTGTGTGTGTGTGTGTGTGTGTGTGTGTGTGTGTGTGTGTGTGTGTGTGTGTACCAAAGGTCAACCTTGGATCTTATGTCTCAGGTGCTGTCCACCTTGTTTTTTGGGATAGAATCTCTCACTGGAACCTGGGACTCACGCATTAGGCTAGGCTGGCTGGCCAGTGAGGCTCAGGGACCTTCCTGCTTCTGGCTCTCCAGGACTCTTTTATGTGGGTGGAGGGGATGAAGCCTCTCTAGCCCCTTAAGTCAAGTTTAAATAAAGAAGCAAAGTCGTCAACATCTAAACATTGATAGAGTTCATGTGGAAATCAGATGTCCAGGTTATTCTGGCAAACTAAAATTTGGTAAGCTGAGCATGCTTCCTGCAGAGCAACAGCCAGCTGGAGCTGAGAAGAGTGGCCTGAAGGAGGCAGGTAGCCACAATCCCCACTCCTCCCTGTGGTGTCCTGGACACTAAGGCTAACTGTCCATGGCTACTCATCACTGAGTTCAGATTTTTTTAAAAATATTTTTATTTTATTTTATTTTTTTTTTTTTTTTTTTTTTTTTTTGGTTTTTTGAGACAGGGTTTCTCTGTGTAGCTTTGCGCCTTTCCTGGGACTCACTTGGTAGTCCAGGCTGGCCTCGAACTCACAGAGATCCGCCTGGCTCTGCCTCCCAAGTGCTGGGATTAAAGGCGTGCGCCACCACCGCCCGGCTTTATTTTATTTTTTAATCCCCCCCCCAGAGCTGAGGACCGAACCCAGGGCTTTGCGCTTGCTAGGCAAGCACTCTACCACTGAGCTAAATCCCCAACCCCTTCAGATTTTTTCTTATCATCAGATCCTCATGTATGTTGCCTTCCTGCCCTGTTGCATCTGAGTTTTGACACTTTGCTCACATGCCAATAAAAGCAGGACGTGACTTTGCCTAGGTGCTCATGGAGCAGGTGACAGGCTCCTTCCTATTCTCCAAGAATGAAACGGCAAATCTGACAGGCAGGCACGACCAGATGTTAGTATGCCCCTTCTGCAAAGCCTCCCAGGAAGAGGTTGGCATCTCAGTTCCCAGCTCCAGGTTCTCAGCTTCTCAGATGGGATTGGGCCCAGTACAGGGGATGGACAGCTTGGCTAGATGTGGGTCAAGCTCCAACTTAGTCATTAACTTGTTCTGTGACTTTGTGTGGGTTTTTCCACTCTGGGAGTCTCAATCTCCCAATCCAATGGCCCAGAGACAAATTCCAAAGGGTCTGTTGCTCACAGGTCTGGGGGATCCTTCTTGGCTTGAGAGGAAGTCTCAGTAGCTTCCAGCCACTACTCTAAGGTAGCCTAGGCCTGGAGCCCCACACCCCCTCCCTACACCCTACCACTAGAGAACACCTCCATTACCATCCCACTGCATGATCAGCCCTGGACTCAGCACCCTCAGGCTCATTTTATCATGTAGACTCTGCAACAATTTCACAATGGGGACCCTTATCGTTCCGTGCCATAGATGAAGAAGACACTGAAGTCAGGAGGAAAGGCTGAAGGGAGCAAGGCCGGATTCAAAATTAGTTGTGTCTGAGCTCAAAGCCTGGATTCTTCCCAGTTTATCAATCAACATCTAGACACTAAAGCTAGGCTTTTTTCTTTGTGTGTATGTGGGAATGTGGGCATTCTCATGCACATGTGGAAGTCAGAGGACAGCCTCAGGTATCAGTCTTTCACTTCTAAGGTCTTCTTCTTGTACACCAGGCTAACAGGCCCTTCAGCTTCTAGGGATTCTCCTCTCTCCCCTCTCACAGTTGGACACTGGGATTACAGGTGCACATGCTACTGTGTTTGGCTTTAAATGGGTTCTGGAGAGCTGAACTCAGGTCCAAACACTGGCTCTTAAAGCGCCTTTCTTTTTGGTCTAGGCCAAAGATCCTTCAAATCCTGAGGGCCTCACAGGCAATAGTACCAGAAAGTAGGCGTAGAGGAAGCCAATGTCCCTGCATCCACACACATACCTTCGGCAACATGCACACCCTATGGACACATGGCTGCATACTTGGACATAAGGAGGTGTGTGTGATCCAGTATAGGCAGTAGGCCGAAATGACCATGTAAGTGAATGGGTCAACTCATTTGGTATGCAAATGAGTAAGTGGACTGTTTGTGGGGGACTGCACCAGCTCAGGCCAGTCTGGGCCCAGGACCTGGCTCCTGTGTCCTAGTCAAGAAAAGCCTGGTGTGCATTTGTATACCCTGTGTACATAGAATGGTCTGTGCATTTATGCCTTGTGGGTGCCATTGGGACCCTGTGGGTGTGTGCATCTGACATCACATGGCCTTACAGTTTCACCTTGGGAGAGCTAGCCTAAGTGTGTGCATAGGCTCTTGTGTTTGGCTCACAGGCAGGGCAATCCTGTGAATTCAGAGATACATGGCTAGCCTGGCTTTTTCTTTCCCTCTAGGATTTCTTCCCAGTCTGGAGTCTTTTCTACACCCCCAGTCAGGGCCAGAGCTGCCAGGCACCTGCAAACATCTCCTGCTATGGTAACAAGACTGACAAAGGCTCGTGTATGCCTGTGAGTGTGACTGAAAACCCCAGTCTTCTGCCACTTGTCCCCTCATCTAGTGCCCTCACAGCAACAAGCCCCCTGCCTGCTACCACAGGTGAAGGAGTCTATAACAAAAGACCTTCTTTGAGAAACCATTTGTCCATTTGTCCACCTGCTAATCCATAGAAGGGCAAGAATGGACGTTCAAGGGTGTGCAGACTTGTGCTAGTGTGGGTTGAAGAAGAGCAGCAAGCTAACAGACAAAGCAAGTGTGTGCAAAAGGGTCACAGCCTACTCCAGGGTGTAGGGTACAGAAGGGGCATAAGCATAAGGTGGCCAGAGCAGGGTGGCTGGGTGTCGATTAGAGTATTGCTGACTTGATTCAGGATGGGTGCTGTGAGTGCGCAGCCCCCACTGGGTGCATTGGGTGGGTGTACAGGTGGCCGGATGTGTGTCTGATGGAATGACCAAGGGCCACGGTTGTGTGTGTGTACCTGTGGCCTCGTCCAAAAATGAGGTTTCCAGGCATGATCGCGGTGTGTGACCACGTCCAGGAGTGTGTCCCACGCTGGGTGTGTGCCGGGTGGGATGAATCAATGAGAGCAGCCCCTCCCCCCGGTGGCGGGAATCGCCCCCTCCTGCACCGCGGTGCGGAACAAAGCGGTGGGCAGCGGGGCTGGACGCGGGGCGGCCTCTCCGCACCTCGAGCCGGGGCAATGCACCGGGGCCCCGCCCCACCGCGCCCCGCCCCGCCGCCCCCGCCCCGCAGCCCGAGCCCCTCGCGGTCCAGGACCCTGGACAGCGACCCCAGCCCGAGCGCCCAGCCTCCCGACGCGCGCCCACCGCTTACCGGCGCCGGCTCCTCGTAGTTCCCATTCCCGTCGCGCAGACCACCCCGGTGCTCCCGGCCCCGCTGGCGGGCGGACCCGACTCCGCGCTGTCCCTGGTCGGCTGGGCGCCCCGCCCCGGGCATGCGCGCTGGGCGCACTCGAGAGCCGGGAGGGGGCGCCGCGGGGGCGCGCGAGGGCCGGCAGACGCCGCCCGGGCCCGGGGGGCGCGCGCCCGCCCGCTGCTCAACTGGGAGCAACGCGGATGCACGGGCGGCGGCGGCACCAGCACCCGGGTCGTCCCGATCTGCCAACTGCCTAGGCGAGGAAATTTCCCGCTTCCCCCTCGGCCGCACTTCCGGCCTCTGCCCCCTCCGCCCCGCCCCCGGCCCTTTGTCTCGCTGCTGCCCACGCTCCGGCGAGTGGCCGCCCTGGGCTGGGAGGCTCCCTGAATCCTCCCGGCAGTATCCTCCCACTCTCTGGTCAGGGTAAGCCCGGTCCTCCTCCTGGAAACCCTCCAACAATTCACCTCACCTCTTTGAGCCTCAGTTTCTAGGTCTGTAAACTGGGACTAGCATTGAATCTCAGAGCGGTCCTAGAAAAGAAAGTGCCTGGAGTCGATGTCCAGGGCTTCCACTTGGGTCAACTGCGGAAGGCGTGAGGACTCACTGCCCATTTCCCTCTACATTTGAGCAGAGAAGTGGGACCCTTCCACTTCCATCTCTCAGATGAGAGCTCTGATTGTCTTGTAAGTGATAAGAGATCCTTGTGCCTGAACTGTGAAAGCCACCTGCTAAAATAATAACGAAGGCAAATGAAACTCTTGGGCAGGGACACAGAGCTAAAATTTGATTTATAGATGACTTTCATGACCAGTCACTCAGGAGCAAGGGAATATTCTTTTTGTTTGTTTGTTTTTTGTTTTTGTTTTGTTTTTCGAGACAGGGTTTCTCTGTGTAGTTTTGGTGCCTGTCCTAGATCTCGCTCTGTAGACCAGGCTGGCTTTGAACTCACAGAGATCCGCCTGGCTCTGCCTCCCGAGTGCTGGGATTAAAGGGGTGAGCCACCGCTGCCTGGCCCAAGGAAATATTCTATCCACGTTTTTCAAATACAGCTAAGTTTCTTGTTGTGGCCACAACCGTTTCTTAGTAGGTCGAATTGGGATTGCAAATTTATACAGGTCACTTCTTGCAGCCTCACACTTGGGCTTATGTCTTAGAAACCACTAATTAACTGATCACTTTAACTTAAAATAATAAGAAAATCTAGATGGCAAGTGAGGACTTAAAATCCATAGGAAAAAACTAGGGGTAGAGGGACACTGCGTCTAACCCAGCACTCAGGAGTTTAGGCAGGTCGATAACCCTGAGTTCCGAACCAGTCTGGGCTACAATGTGAGTACCAGATCAGCCTGGGCAAGACTGATCTAGTAAAACAGCGAGACTCTCTTTCCAAAAGTCTCAAAACAATGAAATTCACGATACAGACTTTTTCATCGAAATACGGAGCGCGGGCCCGTTTTCAGGACCACGGACAGCACACACAGAGTCGCTCTCTCATATTATTGGTGCTGAAAAATGGTTCTCCGACTGCTCAAGAGGGTACTTAATTAGCTTCAGAATTTACAACCCCTGCTCCACATTCATCATTTCATTCCTCACCGGCCTTGCCTTCAAGGTGATCATTATTGGCTCTGTGACACAGAGGAAGCAACCGAGACTTAGGAGGTCCATGAGACACCGAAAGTGGCAAGAACCAGCTTTGATTTACAGCATTCTCCCCACGGGCAAAATGACGCTGGAGCAGAACCAAGTATATTGAGAGGGCTGTGGCAGTGTTTCAGGTGAGGACTGATGATAAATGGACCCGGAAGCCTTTGTTCGTATGGATAGTAGGCAACTCTTACCTACTGAAGGCAATCGACTGGCCTTAGTCATGAGGTGAATGTTGAGAGAGGCTCCTGCTGGTCCTCTGAGGTTCCACCTTGTGGATGGAGGACACATACTGCATGCATGTTGGGGAAAGGGAGTGCTTGTGGGATGACCACCCTAAGATATGAGTCCAGAGTTGAACTCTAAGGCTGCCACAGTTGGAGGCACACCGACTGAGAGCTGGCAGTTGTGGGGGTGGGGAGGGAGTCAGCATATGGAGGAAGGGCATTAAACAAGCAGGCAAGCACCAGAACCCTAGCACCTCCCAAGGAACACCGGGCTGTTGTGAAAATGGGAGGGAGGAAGGGCAGTGAGCAAGGAGACATCTTTCCCAGTAAGTCTGCACCCTGAGAAAGAGAAGAGGTATGATGGCACATATCTGTAATTCCAGCACTCCGGGGATGGAAGGGGGGACCAGGAGCTCATGGTCAGCTTGGGATCCCTAAGATCCTGTCATAAAAAGGGGAAAAAGAAAAGAAGAAGGAAGAAAAATGATTGTGACAGCTTCCACAGAGGCAGATGAGGTGGAGATGGGAGGGGCCGGAGCAGAAGGGAAGGGAAGGATACCAGCAGGGGGCGGGGGCAGGAGTCTGGAGGGAGAAGTGAAATGCAGATCCTGGGGATGCCTCCAAGAGCCTGAGGTGAATATGAAAGGCATGTGGCTCATTTGTGAGGTGATGGGACACCATCAGGGGAGTGAGAAGGTGACCCGGGAAGCAGAGGCAGCCAATACAAGGTTACTAAGAGCTGCCACAGTGGATGAGTGGAGCAGATCTGCAGCAAAGTCCTAGAAAATGGAGTAAGTGTACACTTCAGAATTCCCCTGGCCAAGGGCAAGGGGTCTGGGGTACACATATAACAACACTTGACAGATGTTTGGTTAGGGACTGTCCCTGGGTTATTCATGGTGCTGTGGTTTCTTCCTAGGTATCCTACGCAAAATGGTTCCAGCAGTCTGAGTACTTCTCTTTGATATCAAAGACTCAGGCAGTGAATTGTTGAGAGTCCTCTTGGTGGGCGCATCTGAAGGGTAAGGTCAGAAATCTGTCTGTGTCTATGAGGTCACGGTCAAGGCCTCTTTGTGTGTGTCCTCAGCCATGCCTTAGAACTGCTTTTGTTCCAACAAGACTTGTTAATAAAATCATATTTTAAAATTTCTGGACAACCAAACACTTGCTAGAGCAAATGAGGAACAGGAAATGGGCAAGAAAGCCCATGTGTGCTCATCGTTAGCATTGCCCGTCCCGAGCTTCAAGGTCTCTGAACCTCATGCCACCACATGTAACACTAGGCTTCCAGAGGTCCGCAAGTGCCGGCATAGTATAGCCTTTGTGGAGAACACCACTGTTGATGGAAAGTCTCGCACAGATGTCCTTTCTCATTGTGGTACCCCCATTTCCCTAGGGGGCTACTTCTGGACCCAGCTGTTGAGTAGGTAGTGACCCAGATCTGGCCAGCCACTATCCAGTAATTCATTCTGGGGATAGGGTGAAGCAGGGGACCAAACCCAGGGCAAGTGACTCTCTTACTTTTCTGTAATTTTAAGTGTTGCCAGATTGATGACATGCCTACTTGGAGCTTTCTGGAGAGTTATATGTGTCCCTTTATGGAGACTCTACCAAGGGCTGGAACTTAGGCTCACCTTATAATAAACCTACATGGTCACCCACACCATGTGGTATGTGTGTATGTGTATTCGTACATGTGCTTGTACCTCAGGTTGGACTGCCGCTGGGGAGCCATACACATTCGTATGCACCAGAAGATAAACAAGTGCCTGCAGCTCCTTGGCGGGTGCCCAGGCCGGGGGTGGAATAAACAATCCCAGTGACTTTCTGAAAAGAGAGCCAGCGTGTGTGGCAACAGGCACCATGGAGACAAGCAGACTGTATCAGAGCAGAGACAGCAACCAGCCCCCATGCCACTCGGAGTGCCTGTATGCACATGCTCACAAGAAGCACAATGTGTGTCTCATGTTCTCCCTCTCTCTCTGTCGTGTCCATATCATGTTCATGTCTATTTCAAACACTATCATGTTTCACACCCAGGACTGCCCACTCCTGGGCTCTAGCCAGATAACCTCATTCCAGTTTTGCTTGAAGCTAAAGGCTTTGGGAAAGCTTTGAGATGGCCAGTTAGTAACATCCATAGTTCCTGTCCCCTTCACCAGTACACTGGGTCTGATCTAGGCTGAACTTCAGCTTTTACCAATCAAAACCTCCAGGGATGGTGTGTGTGTGTGTGTGTGTGTGTGTGTGTGTGTGTGTGTGTGTGTTAGGATTATGGTTGGCAGGAGCATGCAGACCCATCTTTGGGCACCATTCTTGAACACAGTTCATGTGCTTCAAGGAGACATGTGCAGTCCATGTTTATGTGCTCATCAAGAAGCACCAGACCGCACACTTCTTCAGGCTCCATGCCTCTCCTGTGCACTGTGCCCATCCCAGGTGACGACGGTAGTGTTCCCCAGGTTTTCCATAGTTGTCGCCGCATCTTATTTCTTTTTTTAGATTTATTTATTATATATATACAGTGTTCTGTCTGCGTGTTTGCCTGCACAACAGAAGAGGGCACCAGATCTCATTACAGATGGTTGTGAGCCACCATGTAGGTGCTGGGAATTGAACTCGGAACCTCTGGAGCAGCCAGTGCTCTTAACCTCTGAGCCATCTCTCCAGCTCCTTATTTAATTCTTTTTTTTTTTTTTTTTTTTTTTTTGAGACAGGATTTCTCTGTAGCTTTGGAGCCTGTCCTGGAACTCTGTAGACCAGGCTGGCCTTGAACTCACTGAGATCCGCCTGTCTCTGCCTCCTGAGTGCTGGGATTAAAGGCGTGCGCCACCACCGCCCGGCTTCCTTATTTAATTCTTAAAGAAAGCCAACTGAGACGGATAATTATTAGTTCCACTGGACAGATGAGAAAAGTTAACTCACTAGGGCCCCAGAGTTAGAATGGGACAAAGCCAGGAGTTGTGTGTGGCCATACACACGTACACATGCAGCACCCATGTATGTGCACTCCCCTCCCCCCACTTAGCCCAGATAACTAACACCTGACAAGGCCTTCCTGACCTCCCCACATGTACTGTTCCTAGGCCCTCACCATGCTGCCCCAAGAGTTCTTGCTTGGCCTGAATGAAACAAGCTGGGTATGGTGGCACAGGAATGTAATCCCAGCTATTCAGGAGGCAGGAGGATTGAGAGCTCCAGGCTAGCCTCGACTATAATAGTTCTAGACTAGTCTGGGCAATTGAGCAAGAACCTGGCTGTCCAGAAGTAAATATAAAAATGGGCTGTGGTTGCAGCGCAGCAGGATACTTGCCTAGCACACGCAAGGCTCTGGGTTCAATCCCCAGTACTGAAAAAGAAAGTAAGGAGCTCACAGTCTGATGCCCACACAGACCCCTTCCCTACCCTCCTGCAACTCTCCACCCCTAGCAGCTGAAGACTGGGGTGGCCCAGGATTTGGATGGGTGACTCAGGCTGAATCATGGCCCAGCTGCTTCTTGACAGCCCCTCCCCCTTCTGCCCAGAGAGCCTATTTGGAGGGCAGGGGTGGGCCTTGGTGTTTCGGGGAACAGGGAGGGCGGGGCAGTAAGGGATAGAGTACTTAAGAAGCAGACACAATGCAAAAGGGCCTCTCAGCAAGCCATACTCCTTATTGCACCAGGAATGGAGACCCCTTTGTTTGGAAATGGGCCAGGAGCTCCCGTTCAGTCCCTAAACTCATCTTGGCTCCCTTCCCCGATCTGATAGCCCTAATAGAATAACGCTGACAACATAAAGTGTTCTAGTTGATCACTCCCAATTAACTGCTCTCACTCTGCAGTTTATAAAGCGCCTTTTCATCTGGGGGTGGAAATGAACACCCTCACTTTTGGAGCTGAGGGAACCAAAGCTCTGAGAGCCCCTGTGAGCTGGCCAGTGTCGCACAGTGAGATGATAGACCCAGGACAAAAGCTCAGGCCTCCTTCGTCCAGCCTGTGGAGGTGAGCACTGAGCAGAGGACCTGGTGGAAACATGGGGGGTGGCACATGTCAGGTGATGTGTAGCCATGGGAAAGATGTGTGTGGGGCACCAGAGGGCATGATGGGGCATCAAAAGAGTACTGTGGTGTGGCATAGTTGGGCCAGGGCTAGGGTAGTGAGAGGGATGTCTAGAGAATGGTATATGGAGGATTATTAAAGTCTTTTTACTTCCCTGTAATTAATGGATTATGGAATTATCTGTGACTTCAAATCTTTTGTTGTCACAGATCAATATTCAAAGGCTGACAAACCCAGACATGGAGTTTCCCTGGAAAATGCCTTGGTTTTGGACACTGCTTCTGGAAACTTCAGTTTTCTTATATGAAAAAAAAAGAGTCCAGGCCTCTATTAAGGTAAGCTGTTAAGAGACTCCAGTGAAATCACCACTCTGCCCTTTCAAAGCTGTGAAGGACTCCACAAAGGCCCGCAGCTGCTTTTCACACTTAACATTTAACATCTATGGGTGCTGGGCAGAGGGCAGAGTGGGCTTTTGGAAGCTTGGGGGTGGTGCTGAACAGGAAGTGGGTAGCATCTCTTCCTTCCCCCTGCCTAGGCTCTCTCTGGCCTTCCCCCACCCTCAGCCCAGGAGCCTGTTTCTAGGCAACCAGATGGATGCAGAGATGGCTCGGATGGGAGAGAGCTATAAATAGGGAAGAGAGAAAACAAAAATAAAGTTCCAGAGAAATCCCTGAAGCCACGTTACTGGGGCTGGGGGTGGGGAGACAGACAAATGACACGATAAGGATATGGGGACAGCCCCTAACCCTTCATTAGGGGAGCTAGGCAGTTTTGCAGCTAGCGCTGCTCAGCAGGAGTCTCCAGAGTGCTGATGTGGACGAGCACGGTGAGGCAGTGGGAAGAAATGGCTCCAGAGCTATAGGAAATCTCAGAGAAGAAAGGGTTTCATTTGAACAAAGTGGAGTTGGGAGCAGATGCCTAGGAGGAAGAAATGCAGTCAAAAAGAGAGAAAGCCAAGATCGGCCGGCGGGGGTGAGGCTGGATATTCCCGGGGATCTTGGGAGGCCTGGCAGGTCTCAGCCTCTAACATCCACGTTTTCCAGAACGCCTCCTGGCATCCTCTTCAAGTGTCAGCTCCGCCTCACCTCAGAGGAGCTTGACCTCACCAACTTATTGTTAAATTCTATGACTTTTTTTTTTTTTTACATTTATTCATTTTTGGGGGTAGGGAAGCACATTCCTGGAGGCCAGAGAACCGTTTTCTTTTTTCTTTTCTTTCTTCTTTCTTTCTTTCTTTCTTTCTTTCTTTCTTTCTTTCTTTCTTTCTTTCTTTCTTTCTTTCTTTCTCTCTCTCTCTCTCTCTCTCTTTCTTTCTTTCTTTTTTGTTTTTTGAGAGAGGGTTTCTCTGTGTAGCTTTGCGCCTTTCCTGGAACTCGCTTTGGAGACCAGGCTGGCCTCAAACTCACAGAGATCGGCCTGCCTCTGCCTCCTGAGTGCTGGGATTAAAGGCGTGCGCCACCACCGCCCGGCTAGAGAACTGTTTTCTGAAGTTAGTTTTCTCCTTCTACCATGTGAGTTCCAGGGATCGAACTTGGGTCATCAATCTTGGCAGTAAGCACCCTTTCTGCTGAGCTATCTCACTGCTCGATGGCCACCTTTTAATGTTGCTCATCACCCATGCCTTTCAGACTCCCTGTCACATCTTTTTATGTTTCTCTTGAAGCTTGAAATTATCCTTATCTCTTTCTTTTCCTTTTGAGAAGGTCGGGGTCTTGCTAGGTAGCAGAGCCTAGCCTCAGACTCATGATCCTCCTGGTTCAACCCACACCTGGCATTGTTGATCACTTTGTGATTCCTGGACTTTGAGCTGTCAGAACATCAGGGTTTCCTGAAAGCCCTCACATGTGAGACTGGAGCATGGTGCACACAACACATGCTGTCAACACCACGAGCACACATGAGCACAGATGCAAGCATAGCACATATGTGCATCCACACCACTGGTGCAATCACCACACACATATCCACGTGCATGTAGTGTCACTACGGTCTCTATGACACTGCACAAGTGTCTGCCACATTTGCCTGTTATCCATATTTTTTTCATTTGTCTCTCTTCAAAGCCAGAGAATACAGGTTTTGGAAATTCTAAAAGTCTTGGCCTTTGGAGTCAGGACTCGGGCTCAATCTGGCTTTTGACATTTTTCAGCAATCAGCCCTGGGCAGGTAGCATTGCCTCTCTAATGCTTCTTCTCCCTCCTTTGTAGGTTGAGGTTGTAGCAATGGAGTAGAGAGAGAGATTTCAAGTGAAATTAATGAAGGTAAGTACCACATGCTTGGCACATACTGGGAGCTTGGGAAATGGCTCAGACCCCATGAGCTGGACACATACATGGACATACACACATACACAGAGTCATCAGACATGGGTTGGCATCTTCTGCTTCTGGATTTGTACCTGGAATGCATTTAAAGTGACCCTGGCAGGTGAGAATGTTGGTCTCTGAGCAGAATCGTTCTCAGTGGGGCCAGGTGTAGGATTTGGCACTTGGGAAGGAGGAAATAAATCTCTTCACAGGCCAGATGGTAAACCTGGTTTTGCCATCTAAAAATGGGGATCAGGGGCTGAAAATAACAGGTAGAGCCAATAAATAAATAAGGAGTTCAGGTGCTGGGTTACAGATAACAGATCTCTCTCTGTCTCTCTCTCTGTCTCTCTCTCTGTCTCTCTCTCTCTCTCTCTCTCTCTCTCTCTCTCTCTCACACACACACACACACACACACACACACACACACACACTGCCTGCAGACTGGGTTTAATAAAATCAGGACAGGTAGGGCTGGAAAAGGTGTACACAAACCAAAGGTAGTCAGACTTAGAAAAATATAGTGTGCTGGTAAATTAACCCTATCTAGAGGTCAAAATTCAGCCAGAAGGCCATGCATTTGTAGTGTCTAGAACAGTGATTCTCAATCTGCGGGTCTCAACCCGTTGACAAACGTCTATCTCCAAAAGTATTTACATTACTGATTCACAACAGTAGCAAAATTACAGTTAAGAGGGAGCAACGAAGGTAACTTTATGGTTGGGGGTCACCACAGCATCAGGAAGGCTGAGAACCACTGTTCAAGAAACTAGCGGGTTCTCAGAAGTGTAACTGAGCCGCAAGGGGTTTCCAACCCCTATCACTCTCACTCATTCATGGCCACCAGTTTGTTTCACAGGGTCATCTGGTAGCGGCTTCCTGCTTCCAGACAAGAAGGCCCGGGTGAGGAGAACACACTGATCTCCCACAGGGTTAGTGGCCTCCGCAGACTTGCAGTCTCCTCTCCCTCCAGCTGTGAAGCGGGAGGTCAAGGCGAGGCTGAGGGGGTTTCTCTGCAGTAAATCAGGCGTCCGCCGGGCAGATGCAGACAGGAACAGGTTTCTACTGCAAATGGGAACGCCGCACAGATGGGGCGGAGCCTCGAGCCAGGCACTCTGTGCCTTTAAAGGCTGCGTGGTTGCAGAGGCGGAGCCTCCAATGCGGGTCTTTTCGAGGTTCCCTTCTTACTCTGAGTCGGCGGGGGCCCCCTAGTGCTGATCCTGGTTTGCTCCAGGTTTCTGGTCTGGCTTCCCAGTTTCCTGCAGACCCTCTCCCACTCCAGCTGAAATCTCAAACTTTCAGTGGTGCTTCTGGGAGGGGAGAGTACCGCCTGTTGGGCGCTGTGCCCTCCCTGGGCCAATGTCTCCAATGGTTTTGTTTGTTTGCGTTGGGCAGGTGTGCATAGATGTGTGTGTACAGGACTGGAGTGGGAGGGGTCTGCTAACGGTTAGCGACGTCTTTCCGCGGCGCAGCTGCAACCGCGACAGAGAGCGCAGGTCTGCACGTGCGCCCTGGCTCTGGTGCTGACACGCGGGGCTTGCGCATAGAGACTGGCGCGCGTGCACGCGTGTGCATGCGTATTCACGTTGCCCGTGCGGTCCTTTTGCGCTCTTGGCCCTGCACCCCTTTCCCTGCCAGGAGGTGGCGCCCGATGCTAACTTCCCGCCTCCCAGTAAACTTCAGTCCCAGCGCGGGTGGAGGTGGAGGCCATCACCCTCCACATCGTGGGCCGACTTGGAGTAGGAGATGGATAAACTGAGGTCTCAGATAGCCAGCGGTGTACCTGTGTTGAGTGTGCCAGAGCCCAAAGAGCGGAGGGGCGGTCCGGGGCCCGGAAGCCCCGCCCTGCCCAGGTGGCGCCAGCTACAGACAGATTGGCTTTATTCATGGACACTCTGGGGGGCGGCTGGGCCGGCCCACCCGGGACACGCTCACACAGTGGGTGGGGGACTCTCCATGCCACAATCACAACACACGACGCTCGGACCGAGCGGGCTGAGGGAGGGGGCATGGCACGACCTGGCTCCTGGTTTGGGTTAAAAAAAAACATTTTAGGAGTCAAAGTGGGGCTGCCCGGGGGCCCCTCGGAGAACCTCTGTTGGGATGGGGAAGGAGCCATAGCTTTCCCATCTTGGTTTAAAAATACATAGAACATGCTACATCCGAGCAGACACTGGACCAGATGGAGGGTGAGGGTAACACTGGTGGGGCGGAGCTCCCAGCCGGGTCTCTGCCCGACTCCAGTCCACGCCTCAGGGATGAACGCGGGCAGGTAAGACAGACAGAAGGGCAGGGCAGACACTAACACAGGCCCGGAGGAGGTGCCTCGGAGCCGAAGGAAGATCTCGTGTTTGGGGGAGAAGGTAGAAGGACAGCCCTGGCTCTGGGGGTGAGGGATGGGGCAGGGACAGGGAAGGAATTGTGCTGCTGGTGTGGGGCCCTCCTGGACCCTTACGCCTCTGGCTCATATTCCTGATATTCCTCCTGCATCAGAGGGAGGGGGTGAAATAAAGAAGAGCATAAAGGAAGTGTTGGAGAGTGAGTGGTCAAATGCAGCCTGCCAGATCCCTCCCCATCAAGGAGGAACAATGTTTGTCCCACCCCCTGGATGGGGAGAAATCTGGGGTTGAGTTCAGCTGAGAGAGTCCAAGGCAGTTGTGCCTGGGGCCTCGCATTAGGCACCATCTGCCATCTGTTCTATCCTCCCGACTTCCACCCCCTAGAGCCTGAGTTACTGAAGACCCCCAGCCCAACTCTATTATGCTGGGGACCTCCTACCCAGCTAGGGGTGACCTCAGTCTTCAGGGATGCCCCTCACCCAGCCCTGTTCCCCCCCTCACCTGGGGTGTTTCCTCATAACTTTCCCCTTCAGGTTCCATCAGGGGTTCAATCAGTGGCTCCTCAGCGGCTTCTTGGGCCACCTCCTCTGGCTGTGAACAAGAGAAGAGCAGGGCTGTGTGGGTGACCAGACAGACACTCCTTAAAATCCCACACTAGTATGCTATGGGTTGCTTGTGAGGTAGACTAGGGTGGCTTGGCAGTGCAAGAGATGTTTAGGTAAGTTGTTTATTTGAGGTCTTAAAAGTGAGAAGTGAGATATAGGTGTGAGTGGTGAATTCCCACCCAATCGTCAGGGAGTGTGGAGAAAGTGCTGAGCTCAGCTCAGAACCTGGCAGCCTCTACGGCCATCACTGAGACTGGATAGATTGGTCTTCTGTTTAGGCACAGTCAAACTGCAGGACTGACTATAGGACCCAGGAGAGAACTCTGGAAGCTCCCCCTCCCAGGCAGAAGGGAGCTACAGGCTCAGGTATGGGGCTGGAGATGGGCTCTTACCATTCCCTCCACTGCCTTCCACCCATCCCTCCCCCAGGGCTGAGCTTGGCCTGATTTCTTCACTGTAGCTATTTTAAGATAAGCTGGAAGCAACAGCTCATGGTGTTGCTTGGATGTGTGAGCTAAGACTCTCCCCTCCCCCCTGCATCTGCTGCCCAGATGGGCACAGACCAATGAGCATGCATGTAGAGGTCTGCTAGACACATGGCTGGCCACCTGCAAATGAGCACATATATGTAAACACATAACTTGGGGTGTATGCATGGCTGTAGAAGACCACAGTGGGCTGGCACATGCCTAGGACCCTGGAGCTGTGGTACCGAGAAGCTGGTGCTTCCAGTTGCCTTAGCCCCACGGGTAGCTTCTGCTCCTTGGAGCATTGTCTGCCTGCACCCCTTTGGGTACAAGGTTTTACATCTCCTGTAAATGAGGATGGTGGCTCATTCCTGTCTTTGTGGAGAAGACCAAAGAAATGAGAAATGTTATTTGCCCAAGTTACCCACCTATGACCAGAACCCAGGAAAGACACGGTTCAAAGCCCCAGCTTGAGGCCTTCAGGGTATAGCTTCATGCTAGACCATGTGTCTAGTGTGCTAAAGGCCTTGGCTCAATCTGCAGCAACCCTCACCCCAAATAAATCCCAGCTTGAGCCCTTTGTTTGGAAGTGAATACAGCAGGACTGTAGAATGGCTCTGGGCATGTGGTCTAACCACAGTGGAACATGGACCACTGCGGACAGAGAAGGGTGGCACAGTGTGGATGGAGAAGGGTGGCACAAACAGTGGCAGGCTTAGCAGTCACACTGCGGGTTAGGAAAAGCAGAATACAGAAGAGCATGCACTCTTCACGATGACATGCACATGAGATTAAAAGCACCTGACCGTTTGCAGTGATGGAAGTCAGGAAGCAGGTGCCCTTGAAGGAGAGTAGGCAGGGCCTGCACTAAAGGGAGCTGAGTGAGGACGTGGGATGCAGGTGTTTGGGAGGCACTCCCTCCATGAACCAGGCATATTCCACGGCCTCCTGCAGGCCTGGCTAGGATAAGGGACCTTAGGCAGCAGGCCCTAAAGAGGCCAGAAGAGGACACTGAATCCTTTGGAACTAGAGTTACAGATGGCTGTGAGCTACTCTGTGGATGCTGGGAACCTAACTCAGGTCCTCTGCAAGAGCAACAAGTGCTTTTAACTGCTGGGCCATCTCTCCAGTCCCATAAGCAAGAGTCTTATATAGCCCCGACAGGCCGCATGTTCCCCGCAGACCTGGTCATGGAGCGTTCACTGTTAGCGGGCCAGGTTTTCTATCTTGGTAGCTCTCAAGGTGTGGTCTCTAGAACCGCAGCATTAAAGTTGCCTGTGTACTTTCAGCTCCTCACTTCTGCCTCAGGACCTTTGTATTTCCTGTTCAAAACTGCTTGAATTACAGTTCCCGCACATTTTCTCAGGGCTGCCTCTCCTTGTTCCTTCGGATGTCTGCTCAAACGGCACCTCCCCACGAAGCTCTCCTGGCTCCGGGAGTCCGGTCACAGTGTGCCCTTCTTCACTGCACATGCACACCCTGTCCGACACCATCAGGCACACTCGCTGGCTCTGCACCGTGTTCTCTCACTACCTCGGTAGCCT